ATTTCGTAAATATTTGTAAAAGTTTTTAAATTTGTGAATTCATATATTTCTGCTGCATTCATAATGATATCTTCATGCTTCTCTAAATACTGTGAAGGTAAAATTTTAAGTTGTAACCGTGGCTGCGATAATGTCGTTAGTTTTTTCTCTATTTCTTTGGCTTGGAGGGTCGAGTCTAGAACTTTATTAGGAGGACAAAAGGTACTATAAAAAGCTTTAAATTGTTCTAGCTTCTTTTCACATGTCTTCCTAGCAATTCATAGAATTTATAATATAAGTTATCCTATAATATTTTTATAAACAAGTAATATTCAATTTACACGTACTTTCTTTGATTTTAGCATCGTATAATTTCAAAGGTATTATTTAGATGTAAATTTTTTCCTGTTTTTTAAACAACTGATTTTTTACATAAAAAAATGTAGTACATACCGTCTACACAAAATATAAAAAAGTGTTTATTGGACACTTATATTAAAATCTGATGTTAATTTATACTTACATCCTGGTAATTGAATATGCTAATTAACTATAGGTCAAATGAAGCGATGACATTATTGAATACAATATACTAACATCCTAGTATATTTTGATTAGTATAGTTAGTTAACAAACTTAATAAGATGACTATGAAAATAGTATTAGGTTTTCACCTGAGCTCTCGTGTAACTTCGTCAATTACAGGACGTTTTCCTGGATCATCATGCCAGCATTCTTCAATAAATAATCCAATATTTGATTTTAAATTATAATACCGATTGCCGAACGTGTAATGTAAGAATAAATCAGTAAACAAACCTGTAAATAAAGCAGAATATCGTGGTGGAGTTCCTTCAACAGGAACTTCCCTGCCACCACTCAATATATGCAAACACAAAGCATTCATATCATTATATTTTTTGAACGGAGGACATAAACTGGATATTTCCCACAAGAGCACACCTAAGCTATATATATCGGATTCCTTCTTTATTTTATGAGATTCCTGACTAAAATTTTTATAAACATCAGGATCAACGTATGCAATGTAACCAGCAATACTTGACTTGGTACTGGTTGCGTAAGCTAAACATCTAGAAATCCCAAAATCCGAAATCTTAATATTATTTTTATGAATAAGTATATTACTTGAATGCTATAAATAATAAAATTGTGAATATTAGAGTACAATATTTAAATTAAACACGTTGAAATTGTATAGATGTGTTATATAAATTATTAATTACAAGATCTCTATGTACGA